GATGTCAGTCTCCATGGCTGCGAGACCCGCTCCTATGTAATTATAAATAACGAATTCTAAGGCAACGCAAATATTAAGGTTAAGAGGCTGAGCTCATAGGTGATGATAAATAACATAGTTATGTATAATATATTAAATTTCTGACTTTATATCCCTGTAATTATTACACACTGTAGCTTTAAGATAAACAAATAAATTAGTTTTTTTCAGGATCCTTCAGGTACATAACCTGTCCAGCCATTCTGACTTTCAGTGGGCGTAAGTCAGACTGGTAAGGCTCAGTACTCTGCTCTAAAACAGACCATACCAATCACAGCACAGAGGTCGCTCCATAATGCCACAGCGTTCTTCTGTAACCATTACAATCAAGTAGCAGAGAAATTAGTCCTTCAATGTTTTTTAGGTGATAGAGGGCCAACTTGGGTTACTGTGTTTATGGAATCTAACTGTTTAAGGTCCAAATCCATCACTACACCTAGATTTTGAGCCATAATTTATACCTGTTTTTACTGATACTGTGTGCTAACATTTGAACACTCTTCTTTTGGTACAAAAACTAAAACTTCAGTTTGTTTTTTTTAGCTGTAGAAAACATCTAAATATTTTAAGCATTTACCCAGTGCTTAAATGGTTTCATGTAGGGGGTGGGCGATACGTTGATTATACTCGATGTATCTCAGGTTTCCCCACAAACTTAAGTTAAAATGACACTATCACAACCAAAATACAAATTCACAAGATGAGATTAAGTCATCTGCATTTATTTCGCTGAGTTTTATTTTTCTCAGACACTTTGAATGCGTCATAAACCCCTCCTCCAAACAGGTACACACTTGAGCAATCGGCAAATAAAAAATATGGCAACAGCAGGTGTTTCAGCTGAGCAAAACATGGCAGTAGCGAAACAAATTTATTCCACCACCTAAAAAGTAATCCGATGCAAAATGAAGAATGTTGCAAAATGAAACAGCTGTGAAGCTGATGACTTTGCCCTCGTCGTTTAAAAAAAAGGGATCCCATATGAGAGAAAAAGAAAGAGATATGGATCACAGATGCTATTTTCTTTCTGTTAATTAAATGTTTTCAAGATGCTCTAAACCCTGTGATGTGTGTTCAGAGGTTTTCAGGCCTTTGAAATGTTCTCAAGTTTAAAACTTTTTGTGCTTCTTTAAAATTCCCAGAAAAAAACAATGCAAATAGTTTATCGATGCTCTAATAATTCTCTCATTTTTGGGTAGTATTTCAACCTTTTGTAATTTGAGGTAAATTTCTTTTTTTCATTCTGCACTGTTTTTTATTGTGCTCAAAATAGCCATTTTCCCCCCCATTTTATTTATTATGTGTTTTTACTTTGCTTCTTGTTTGGTTGCTGGGATCTTGTTAAAGGTCTTATACTGACACCCAAATGTGTCAGGATTATTTTGTGAAAGCTTTGAGCTGGTTAAAATAAAATGTTTTAAATTTAAAACTAAAAGTGTAAATTAGTATATCAGTGCAATTTTATACACTATTGTTTTTGAAGGTAATTTGAACATATTGTGATATATATTGCCTAGCCTTAGTTTCATGGTCATCTTGTGATACTGTAATCTTTTTATTAAGATCATATACTAAGTTTGGGACAATGGGGAGCATGTATTTTTTGAATAAGAGAGGCCCTAAGACGAACCCTTTGGGAACGCAATATGTGATTTTCATTATCTCTAATGTACACAAATTTTAACCCTTCAAGTTGTGTATCAGAAAGGCTGATCCAGTTTTCATGGTGCTTATGTAAAATTGATCAGTTTGTTGAATAATGCACAAAGGTCCAGTAATAACAGGCCATTCCACAGTCTGCATTTATATTGATGTAATTAAAAATGTTGTCAAGGACAGTCTATGTACTATGGTGGGCAAGGAATCCTGGCTAGAAGAAAATGAAGCAGCTGGTCTTTGGTAGGAAGGTGTGAAACAGCTCTAAAAGGGGGAAAAAAGGGGAATGTTTGAGATGGACCTGTAGTTCTGGAGTAGAAGCTTGTCTGAGGCCCCGTCCACACGAAGTCAAACCTTGGCCTAAACGTAAAATTTTTCACCAAACCAGCCTCTCATCTACACGAAGCCGGCGTTTCAGGGTCTGTAAATGATCTTTTTTTTATTAAGCCTTCAGAGTGGCAAGATTTTGAAACGCCGTTTTCGCGTTTCCATCTTTAAGGTCTGACCGCTTTTTTTTTTTACACGCATGCGTCATAGCGTCGCCTCTAAACACGCATGCGCGACACAGTATCACAACAACAATGGCGCCGTACTGTGTTGAATGGTTGCTGCTAATGCTGCTCACCCTGCTGTCGGGCTTACAGCAGAATCTTCTTCTATATCTCCAGGAAGAACAGAGCAATATAG